TGTCAGCATGAGGGGACCCGGGCCCTTTTCCCCAGCCTTCCCGAAGCTCCCAGTTTTAGATCCGTTTGCTACAGGAGAGCTTGTATTTCACATTTAGCACATGAAAGCTGCAGGCTCGTGGACCTCCAGTGTGGTCTGTGTGGTTTTGATGTCCTTTTTCCTTTGTTGAAATGCAGGCAACATACTGCTGAATGTCCTGATTCCACCCAACATGCCGTGTAGCCGAACGGGGAAGAACAACGTCCTGATCGTCTGTGTTCCAAATCCACCTGTTGATGAGAAGAATGCCACCATCCCAGTCACCATGTTAATCCGGGTAAAAACAGGCGAGGACGCGGATGAGTTGCACAAAATTTTACTGGAGAAAAAGGATGCCTGAACACACCTGGACTAAGGGATTGCTGCCAAGTTGCTGCTCCCCACCACCCCTTAGACTTAGTCAGTTTTTCTTCTCTTCTTACTTTGACATTCTAAGAATTTAGAGATAACTTAAAACTTTGTGAGGAAGATTAATATGGCCAATAAAACCTTTAAACGTTAAGTGTCAAGAACCTGTATTCTCCCTTCTTAAGAACTGTCTGATGTGTAAAATACATTTGAATGAAATTTTTTTTGGAAGATTTTTAATGTTCATTTATTAAACTGACCACAAGTGGTTTCTTAATAGGCTGAAATCAGGGTATCGATTAGACTTCCCAAAGGCTGTTCCGATCCACGGGTTTTGGGGTCTGCTGCCACCGCTGGGGAGGCTTCCCGGCAGCCCCCGCGTCCAGGAGGAAGCTCGCCTGTGGCGTTCTCTGGTGGGCTTGACTGATTTGGGAGAACAGCACTCTTTCCAAATGAATCATGCTACCACGCTGTGATGGAGGTATTTTTCCTGTGCTTTCTCATATTGTTATTCTAAAGCTGAACCTCCAGTACCAAATGTTCCCACCCAGCATGAGAGGCTTTAGCTTTTTATTTGCAGACATTGGCCTTTTAACCCTGTGGGCTTCTTTACCTGATTGAGGAACTGCTTTTTCGTTTTAAAAGGAAACAAGTAGCTTGTTCTTTGGTTTTGTAGTTTCACTCTTGAGGTGCTGTTACTTCTCTATTCCTCTGCAGACAAAGAGAATAGAGGGGGATTGCCTGGAATGCGGTCTAAAAGCACAGATTTGGTAGCTTAGAGTTTATAGACCACGGACAACAAGCGCCTGTAGAAATGAAAGTTAAGTCAAAGTTAGAGCATAGTACAAAAGAAAGAATACGTCTTAGCTATTTGTGCCATGATGAACCCTATGGATCTAAGAGCTACTTACTACTTAAAGTCCTAGGAGCTCTTACTACACATGAGCCATGTGATTAGCCAGGAAACATGCAATAAGGTAATGGAATTGAAATTGTGTGTGTAAATGTTGCCTTTAACTTTAGACAGAAGTATATTATACATTTGATACCTGAAGTTTCCACTTTTTTACAAGTAAGCTACTCAGTATGTCCATTTGGAAGGGAGCCATGGTTCTGCAGGAGCAGAGCTGCGTCACTTCTTCACAGCAGTCAGGTAGCGGATCCTAGTGTTCTTGGAAGATTCTGGGCACATGAATTAGATACAGATTTTAATGTTTAAATGTCCACTTTCATTCCTCGTTAATCATTTAATGCTGGTACCATATGATCTTGTTTCAAGGCTCAGGGTCCGTGCCTGAGGGCTCACACTTGTATGTTCTGATCTTCAGTATGTAATGTCTTCTGACTTAGAAAATTGTAGAAAATAATTGTAGATAGTACAGTTACTTTTTTTAAAACAAGTTATAATTTTTAGAGATTTATAAAGGGGGCAGGGAAACCATTTTATGATCCAACAGGTTAACTCCAATGCCTGAGGTGAGGAAGTTGGCCAACTATGTACCGTGAGATTCTTGCACTTCGTGAGAGAATCTGGCCCAGTGTGTGACTCTGAGTAAATGCACAGAGGTGTGCGTACACTTGTGGGCTGAGGTCAGGCTCTCACGGTGGGAAAGCTAGGGAGGGAGTGGCAGTTACTTTTGCATTTTCTTTTTAGAATCAAGAATACTCTGGAGTGTTTGTTACACGTGATTTCTAGTATGTGGTGGTCGATCCTATTACAGTGGCTGTGGCCCAGCCGGCCTTGAGTGAGGTTTATCCAGCTGCTAGGAGGACGAGGAAGTGCAGGGCACAGACTTCTGTCCCGGGTGGCCCACCCGTGGTCCCCAGGAGCCGCGAGGCCACTCGGGCACTTTCAGGGGGCGCCACACTGGTAGCAGCCTCTGCGTGGCCAGTGGGATGTTTGCCACACGTGGCCGAACAGCATCAGGATTGGGTCACCTTTCACCTACCCCCCCCCCCGGGAAAAGAGTTCATAATCTTTTTGCATTAGTGGGTATATGTGGCTTTCTCTTTTCCTGACATTCCCAGCAAATTGTTGCTGCTAAGACTCACTGTTAAAGTGACAATTACAGGGACAGGCGTGATGCGTGTGCCGGAACTCCCAACGCGGTATTTCCTTCATGTCGCTTCCCCTTTAGGAACTTGCTGGTCTCTACTTTAATTACGTATACATACAAAAGAGCCTGAGTGTGTGTGGATTTTCCTGTAAAACCTAAATATTTGTATGTTACTTGGGGGAAGAGGCCCCTTTGGCCCCCAGAGGGCCGGCCTTCTCTCCCCTGCTGTATTAGTAGCTAAATTCCGCCCCATAGGTTTAGTTAGATTTATTTTTAACAAAAATATTAGAAATTAGGCTTTTAAATGTTTAACGTAGACTGAAATTTTTGTATTTAGTTGGAGGATCTATGACGTATATCATCTGTGTGGCCTGAAGGGAGTTGTTTTTAACCTTTAATCCGTTTAATCAGTTGTGTTGCATCTTGACAAATACTGAGTGTCCCAGTGGCCTTTTTTAAACTGGTGCGTGTCCTTCTTTTGAGAGTTCCCCAGTAAGCAAAAAAATGAGCGTTGTGCTGTCTTTGTTTTTAGAATTACAGGCTGGAAATGTGTGTCCAGTTTTTAAAGCAGTTTAGATTGTGTTTTCCAGGGAAGAACAAGTCTGACCATTTACGCATTGATTTTCTTGGAAAGGATTATAGTTTTATAATTTCAGTTCTAAATCATATTTTTGATATGCTGCATGCCAAAAAGAATCTACCTGTTCTGGGGGAGAAGAAAAAAAAAAAACCCATCTTACTGTCCAAGTGCAGAACAAGTTATCACTGAGAAAGCCTTTTTGGTTTCATTTTAAAAGTTAAACACGTCTTTTGAGCAACTGTCGGTTCTTCTTTGATTTCTGAAGTCAGAATGCAAGCACGGTGTATTTTGAAGGCTTTGCAGACCCAATGGCTCACTCCCAAACCCCTGGGTATTGGTTCTCATTCTGGAAGTGAGAATCTGGTTGAAACTGGCGTGTCCCACGGTGCCGGCAGGGGACCGCGAGGAGCCGTCCAGTCCCGCTCTGAGCACCGGGACTTCTTGGCCAGAGGCAGTCATGGTTAGGACTCCGGACTCTGCTTGATGCAGATGCGATCAATCGTAACAGTTGTTAAGACTTCTTAGCAATCAGATAAGTTGTTTGCTTTCTATTTTGCATAGGAAATTGTTTTCTAAGACAAATACTTGAATTGTCAGACAATGTAATTTCAGTTTGTATTAGTTTTTGAGGAAGTGTAATCCATGAAATGTGAATAAATGGAAAGTAAACAAAATCAGTGTTCGACACTTTTATGTTCCTCGGTGATGTTCCTGGTGTCGATACAAGTCATGTGGGCTGGGGGGAGAAGGACCGTGCAGAAACCCCCAGGCAGCAGAGGATCTGCTTCCTCTCGGCCCCTGCGCGTATGCGTGTGGCCTCCTCCGAGCCATTCGAGAGTCTGTCGTGTGGGATTTACGTCCTTACAAATCAGAATTGGAATGGTAGATGTGTCACGGGCCACCATGGGGAGCACTGCGCCAGGCGCTCTGCATCTGGTGCTCATTTGGCCCTCGGGGCAAACCTCCCAAAGGGGCTCCATGGTGCGTTTTCCAAAGCACGGCCCTGGGCCAGGTTAGTGTGTTTCTTACAAATACATACGTGGGTTTGGGATCTGTGTCCAGGTCTGTCTCAGTCAAAAATCTGAACCCTCCTAAGGACGTTTTAAAACTATAAAGATCAAGATGCTCAAGAAAAAATACATTGTTATTCTAGAGCTTTAAATTTTCAGTGATCCAGAAAATCACTATTACAGCATGAACAGATTAAACTGTAATAGGATTATGATACGATTTTGGAGTCAAGTGCTGAGTAACTTCAGAGGTGTGTCCCCGCAAGGTACTGTGAAGACGGACTTACTCATCGAAGTAGTATTCCGGAACCAGTAACATCCAGTGGGAACTCAGTGACACAAGAGGGTGTTTGTCCCGAAAACGCACCAGCCCTGTCGTAAGTACTCGGCGATGGGCCGCTGACAGATGGGTTCTCCAAGCATGGAGCTGGCAACCACAGTGGCCCCACCTTGGAACTTGTTAGAAATGCAGACTGGGACGGGGGGTGGGAATAGCGTGGTTTTGGTTTTGTTTTTATTGAGAAATTCACACACTCTTAAAGTGAAAGCTTCAGTCGTTGTTATAGTATAGTCCCAGAACTGGGCAACCATCACCACTGATTCCAGAACACGTTCATCACTGGCCGTGTGGGTTTCAACAGAGGGTTCTGACACGCGCTCAAGTCTGAGAACCGCCCCACCCCCCACAGGCCGCCTCGGTGCTTTGTGGTGATGCCCTGGGGGCACATTCCAGGAGGGGAACGGCAGGGACTCAGTGTTGCCAGGGACCGTGTCAGCCTCTGTACACAGGGGTCTCACCTCAACCTGCCCCCAGGAAGGGGGGTACGGCCGCGAAAACCCAGGCCCAGGTCCCACGCGCCCGGGGAGCCGCAGACCCACGCGGGCTGTCACCAGCGCCCCGCTCGACGGTGTGTGTACGTGCCCGTTAAAGGACTAAACTTGACCGGCTTCCGGAATGGTCTAAAATCTTGAGAACAAAATTGTTTATTCAAAACATAATCATGAAAAGTCACTAAAAACCATGGTTCTCTCAAACTGAGCAATCTAATTGTTTTATTAAAGTCAGATTCCAAGATGAAAGACCCTTAATCCACACATAGGGAAAGCAATACCTTGTTAAACCTGTTGGCTTATGTAAAGGCCAAGTCAGGAGGGACGCGATGAAGCCACGAGCAAAAGAAAGGACCTCTTTTGTTTTTTTTTTATCATCCCCAAAACAAACATTTCCCCTTCTCACAGTAAGTTTTCCAGCTGTTCTTCCTGCCCTCTTAACAATCAAGCCCAAAGCACAGCAGGCTTATCCATTCAACAGGTATATACACAATGAACTAGGATAGTGTTTATGGATTAATTTAGTTTACATTTCTCCCTCCTCCCGACAGGAAACTCCCAAAGGTTTTCTCTTCCAGTCAACATGATTTTCTAAAGCTAGGGCATGACCGTAGTTCCTAAAAGTTCATCTAGGACGGAACAGAAGGACCGAAATAGCAGCATTAGCCTTCAGGAGTAGGCAGCTCATAGGAGGGGGTTCTTGCACAGCTTTCTCCACATTAGCTGTTAGGTATTTTTCAGGCGACTGTTTTAAAGGGGACTCCTCCTTCAACGGGAAGGGGGTTTGACCTGGATGGCAACAAAGACATTGTCTTCATTTTACCTACCAGACGGCCTGCTTGATAACCACTCAAGCAATCTGCCCTTGGTGATGTTGCTTCAGGAAATTCTGGTTCGGCTGTTTCCAATGCAACGGATGGAGAGAGATGTCCTCGATGTGACAGTTCGCACTGTATTTCTAGCTTTGCCTATGTGTTCCTCTCAGACCCTCCCTTCTACGTGTTCACTTCCTGTCCTGTAACTTCCCGCCGTGGTGGAGGCCTGACGCGTGCCCATCACCTGAGACACAACTTTAGAGTTCGTTTGCTCTCGGGACGAGCAAGCCCACCGCCGAGCCTCCATCAGCCCCTGGGGGGTGGAGTCAGCTCGAGAAACGTGCAAGCGCACTAGACATCAACTGGATTAACTAGAGTCTCAAGGCAACAGACAACCAGGGCCCAGAAACCATCTTCCTGCAGACCAGGCAGCCTGTCAGAAGCCTGCTCTGTTTACACTTGACCTCGGGACTCCTGACTCTGATCCTGGGCATTTTCCCATTGCCACAAGGCCTTTTTTAGAGGTTCTCCAGAAAAAGCTTGGGACATCTGACAGTTTGACGGGAGGGCTCATACTACTTTATGGGGACTGGGAGCTAAACCCGAAACGCGTCTCTTGTGATTGGATTTTGCAAATGTTGCCTCGGACCAAAACCTGGCTGCGGGCGCCCCGACCCCATGGCTGACTCAGCATGGCCCGAGCCAGGGCCCGGGGTGCTTTCTGTCCATCTCCAGCATTTCTAGAAAGGAACTCATGTGAAAGCTCCAAAAACGGTCGAAGAAGAAATCTTTGGGGGCAAATTAAGGTTCAATCACTTAAGTTTATGCATTGCTGTAACATCTGTATTTGATCTGAAATACCCATTAAAGAAAAAAAACAACTAAGTACAGATTCATCAGAGGAAAGCACTGAGGAAAAATAAATTTAATATCCAACATGCAAATCAACTTTCAACAGAAATGCAAAAAGCACAGCTCACAGCCAACCAAATGCTGCTCAGAAATGATTTCTGTACGTGGAAGACAGTGAACCCAGAAGCGGCTCATGTTTATGGAAATGCCACTGACCATGAGACAGATCCTAACGTGTTCGATTATGCCACCATGGTGTTTTTGCCAAAATATATTTTGTAGAAATCGTTTTAGTTAAGCCTCAAAGTCGTGAAAAATCGCAACAGGTTTTCTTTGCAGGTTTTGATTCTCACGTGGAGAGTTTGCTCGGGAACCGCGAGCAAATGTACACCTACATGCTCGCTATGTACACCTAACCAGCCCGGGCTTGCAAGATGCTGCGGGGGGGGGGGGGGGGCTGGAGCGCCACTGTGACCTCTGGTGTCCGGCGCTCAAGGCCCCGGCGCCGCCAAGATCAAGGTGCCTGCTTGCCTTGGGGATGGTAGAAAACTGTAAACACAAACTCTCTCCACTGCGGGGGACCCACCGCCGGCCGGGCCACTTGGGGTCCGGGTGACTTGGCTTCTGAGGGTGGGCGTCCAAGGAGTTCTCCAGACCACTCGAGACAGAGGCTCAGAGAAAGGGCCGGAGGATTCCTTGTCCCACCAAGGACTGTGTCCGCGCCATGACAGCCGGTGGAAAGGAACAGAGGAGAGGAGAGCAGCCCCGCGTGCGCCCCCCACCCACCTCCCAGGGCTCAGCCCCCCGAGGGCCGGGGGGCACCGTGGCCACGGGAGCCTGGAGGGCAACGCCTCCCGCAGGAGGCCGGCATGGGCCTGCTGCTCTCCCGGAACCCGTGTCCGGTCAGGGTGCTGATGTGTTTTAAGAGAAATCTGCTTTCTGAGACAAAGACGAGAAGAAGCCCGAACAGGGAGAATCAGCGTCACACCCACGGACGCTTGGTGTTTGAGGCCGGATAGAAAACCATGTTCCAGCTCAGTCGTGTGCTGCGGTGGGACCGCTCGAGGCTCATGAAACCGTCGGCAGCTCCCTAACGCCTGACATCTTTAGAGGGTCGTGGCCAGCGATTTCGGGCCTCCCTGTTGGGACGGCGTCAGAAGCGTCCTTCGAGTCAAGTCACTAGAATTTAACAGCTGCACAGGGCCTGCCTTCGGGAATGTCTTTTAATGGGAAAAAAAGAGTTTTTGCCACACTTTGCAAGTCTACTGACTAGACGGTGATTAAAACAGCAACACCAGCTCCTGGTTTGCTTCTAGCCAGACTCTTTAAAAGAGCAATCCCACCGGGCAGGTGCCTCTGTGTCGTTAACTAGCACTGCTCCGTGGGGAGCAGAAACCTGACCGGATCATCTGGGCACAGTCCCTGAAAAGTCCAAATGTGAGCGGGAACGGGACTCGTCAGAACGCCCAGCCATCTCCAAGCTCACTGGGCTGGGGAAGATTTTGTTCTCTGTGGACTACTTCCCTGTCACTTGAGAATATTCTCCTGAGCTACTGAGCCTCGGCTGTCTCTCCAAGCAACTGGAAGTTCCTGGAAGACCTCAGCGTGCGAGACCGAATGCCCCCCTCAGCCTGCAGGCGCTGGAAGGTGGACTAGAGGCGACATGCCGCCCATCAGACGCTAGGACCGTGACATTTCTCAGAAAAAGAGAGCTTTCTTATTCATGTCCTAAAAAGGGACACCGCGGGGTCTTCACAGAAAAACCATACTTTGATTCCAGTTCCCACTGAAGAAATGTGCGCGCGCTTCGGTCTTCCCTGCAGTACACAAGAGACAGGCGTGTTTCCAGAAAAGTTAAAGACGGCCTTACGAGAAGTGACAGCCGGACACGCCAGGACACTGGGGCGCTGGGCTTGGCCCTGTCCCTTGTTATTCTATTACTCTGTTACCGATGTCCTTTGTCACTTTGAAAACAATGAACCTCAGGGTGACAGCTTACTGCCTAGTGACCAAGTGCCTCTCAAAAAAGCGTGCTTAAAAATTCAGTCTCAGAAGTAACCTCTGGAAGAGGGAAAGACGGCACAGGGTGGAGGCCACCACACGCGTCCGTCTGTCCCAGGGCAGCAGTGTCGCAGACGCGTGGGTGGGCCGCTGGCCGAGCCTGCGGGGGCCGAGTGCGGCCTCAGGGTGGCACCGGGAACAGCCAAGCCATGGTGCGCGCTGTTCGCACGTGGTACGACGAGGCGTCATGGACGACCTGGAACAGCGCTGTGGCGCACGGCAAAGCACTCGCGCACATCACGGCAGCCGGCCCTCGGGTGCCCTGTGCCCGCGGTTTGTCGTGTCACCGAGGCGGCGTCTGACGTGCCCGCGGCCCCACCAGCAGCCGTGGCTGAGCCCCGGGGCTCGGTTCCGGCGGGGGCACCCTCTCGTGCTCCTCAACCTCTGAGAACAGAGGGAGGGCCGCCGTCCTCCTGCATCTGCTCGACTACCTCCTCCTCCCGTGGAAGATACATCGGGACCGTACTTCTCCCAGGACCTGAGTTCCAGAGTCTTCAGACCCCGGATGACCAGGGAGAAAGGATTCCTGAAGAAAAAGATGTATTTTAGCCACCCTGGACACAAACTTGGAGGCGGCGTCTGGCTCCCCTGGAGAACACTCTTGGAACATGGGGCCGCGCTCAGGGAGCAGAGGCTCCGCTCCAGTGCTTGGCGGCGAGGCCTGACTCTGTGCTGTCCTGAAACACTGCTCTGGAACGTGAAATTGTGCAGACAGCTGGGATTCAGCCAAGCGTGAGCTGGGCACTGCCAGAGAAGGCGAGAATGTTCCAGCCCAGCCCCACCACACAGGTGATGGCGGGGAAAGCCTCCCAAGAGTCCCCCACCAACCCGAGCTCTGCAGAAAGGCTGCCTGACCCAGTCGTGCACCGGAACCCTGGACACTTCATGAGGTAGGTGGTATCAGCCCCATTTTACAGGTGGGCCAACTGAGGCAGAATGAAATGCAATAGCTTGCTTTAATAACAGCATACAAAATCTAGAGAAAGCCCCAAAGTAGCCCCTGTTCCCAGAGCCCAGCGCAAACCCTTGGAGCGCACAGAATAAAACAGATGGGAGAACAAACCCCTCCAACCCCTTCTCTCCTTGCAGAGAGGGTCTCCGTGCACGACAGCAAACCCTCAAATATTCCTGGGGACTTCAAACAAAACAACATAGCAACAGAGACCCAGCTGACAATTTATTCCCAATGGGGCAGGGAACCGCTTCCACTCGAGAAGGCTCGTGGTTTTGAGAAGAGCACAACGTGTCATCCATCACAGGTGGGAATCCCTCCAGCCCGAACAAGGCTGCGGGTGAGCCCGGAGCCGCATGGCCGCTCACACAAACCCACTGGCCGCTCACACAAACCCAAATCCTCTTTGCCTCAGTGAGCTGGTCTGAGAAATGGGACCAGCGCACTCAGTCAAAGCAAGCAAGCTCCAGGAAACACCCTATCCCCTCCCTGGCCCCCCCGAGGATGGAGGTTATACCTAGAACCTTCCTGGGAGGAAGCCAACCCCACCCCCCCAACCCTCTTCTCCTGTCTGACTACCAAGCCGTCCCACCCGCCCTCGGAGTCCAAATTTTCTGTGGGTCACGCCAGCCGAGGCGCAGAGCGGGGTATCTCCAGGGTGGAGGTGTGTGTGTTGGTGGTGCTCTTTGGCTGGAAGCAAAGGCCATTCTGGCAGGATCGGGGCCTGTCTGCTCAGCTCAAGGCCTTTCTGGAACCGGGCGTGGGTGAGGTATTCCCAGCCCAGGGCAAACCCCTCAGACAGCTGTGTGCCCCCTCTCCCCGAGGCAACCCATTTGTAACCAAGCGGTAAACAAGGGAGGGCGGACAAGTCGGGACTAACTCGGACGCTGAAGTTCATGGGCACAGCAGCACGAAACCTTGAGCCAGTTCTCCTTAGGAAGGCGTCGACACGCTGACACTCTGCGTGCCCCCAACCGGGTGGTCTCTCCACCTGCGGTCTGAGTGTGGACGTCGGGTCGGCGGGTCCGGACACACTCTGGACCCTGGCTGCTCCTCTGCTCTCTCTTACAGCCTCTTGGCATCTCTGGTCCTCTGGGGGTGCAGAGGGCGCTCCAGAGATGGGCGGGGGGGCGGCGGGCGCAGGGGCAGGAGCAGAGCCAGCAGGGGAGGAGGAAGAGGCACTTCAGTTTGGGCTGGTGTTCGTGGAGTCGGCCCTGGCCCCAGGAGTCGAGCGGCCCCGCCTGGCTCCGGCGACGGCGCTGGGTTGTCACAGAAGACCCCGGTGGTGGTGGACAGCTAGGCACTTGGCAGCACCCCCAGGGCTGGGCAGGGCTGGGGGGCTCTGCGCAGGCTCTGCACACGGCTAGGTCATCAGGATGGGCTTCTGCCGCACTTCCAGGATGTCTAGGGCGGCGGGAGGGGGGCGGGCGAGACAAGGAAGTGAAGGCCCCGGGCGCTCCGGCCCCCGACGGCGCCGTTTTCGCGGGCAGTCCGGGCTAAGTACTTGCGTGCATCTCCTCCCGCGCCCCCACCAAAGTGCACCACTATTGTGGTTCCGATTTACAGACGGGGGATGGTCGTGGGGCGGCTGCACAGCCCAACGAGCCAAGTGGAAGTGGGGCTCTGACGTGGGCCGGCCCGACTCGGGAGCCGTCACCCGGCACCGTCGCGCAGGCCCTGGTCAGGAGGGGCCCCGAGAGCTCCACCTCACCGCTCCCCCAACCAGTAACCCACCCCCCCGGGGCCCTGCAGCCACTCAAGGGGGGACAGGAGGGGCCGTGGCTTTCCCAGAGAGGCCAAGAACCCAACACAGACACCCACTGACGGGCTCCGGACCTGAAACGAGGGACAGGGTTACCGACACCCCCATGAAACGTGATGCTGTTTTCTACGTCAGCCTGCGTTACCTGTTAAAATCCGATGCAACGGCAAAGTGACATAGGTCAAGTGTGCATAGAGAAGGAAATTTCCATCCGCTCTGTTCAGCTTCAGCCAGGACCCGACCAGAGACCGCCCCGTGCCAGACAGGGACCGAGACCGCAGGTTGGTGGCATTGTGCAGATCCGCTAGAGGGGAGAAGGCCGCGTCAGGGAGGACTAGGAGAGCACCTCCCACCCCAGGGACCACCTCTGCCTCAGCCTGGGCCCTTTGCCACCAGCCCCTCCACACCCCATACCTGCCCCAGAGCTGCCAGGCCTTGGCCTGTGACCCCCCCCAACTCCCCCCTGCCTAGCCAGCCCTCCCCTCCCCTCCCCTCCAGCTGTCCCTGACCCCTCCAGCTGCCCTGGAGAGGCTCTTCCGTGGGGTCTGGCTTGTCGCCACATTGTGTTACTTCTCCGCTTCCCTGTGGCCCCGTCTGTCACTGGAACCGAGCACCACCAGCCTGCAGGGCCCAGGGCGAGGCTGGGAGGACCCATCACCATGACCCATTCTTCTGGGTCACCCAGAGAGGCAGGCTGGGTGGTTATCAGCCCTTTTCTACTGATCTGGAAAGGAGCTGAGGTGGGGAAGGCACTTGCCCAAGCACACACAAGAGCAGGTCAAGGCCAGGCCCGTCCGTCTCTGGGCCCTGGCGCTCAGAATAAGGGCTGGTGTCTCTTCTGTTCAAGGCCACAGTCCCAGCTCCCGCCAGCACCCCCCCCATGCTGTCGGCCATCCCTTCAGCCCCCCAGCACACACGCAGGGTGCTCACACCTTGTCTCTTGACAGCCAGCCTGCCCTCCTATAGTCCTTCTCCACAGGGACCACTGAGCGGTATTTCAGTATGCGAATCTGACTTTGTCACTAGCTTGCTTAAACCTTCCAAGGGCTTCCTGCTGCTTAGATGAGGGTGCCCCTGCCCCCCCCCCCACTGGCTCGCTGGCCGCAGGGCAGTGAGAAGCTGCGGGTCTGCCGGGAGGGACTGCAGGGCAAGGGGGGGTTAGCCTGGGCCCCCCGCCGGCTCCAGGCAGAGACGCCCAGGAGGCCGCCAGACAGAGAGTGGGTGAGCCCCGCGGAGAGCCTGAGGGACGCCCCTGCGCAGGTTCTGGAGGGAGGGCACTGAGGACCAGCCAAACCCGAAGGCACGAAAGGCGGGAATGAACCTGAGAGCTCACCTCACACTAGGCAAGGGTTTCTCGAACCCTCTGTGTGGAGCAGTCAGACCATCAGCTCGGGAAAGGTCTGCAAGCCTCCTGTCCTGCCTCCTGTTCTGACCCCAGATCAGAAGCTCCTCGAGGCGGGGATTTCTGTCTGTCCATCCACAGCTCCATCCCCAGCCCTGAGGGGACCCTGACACCTGCTGGCCCCCCGGACGTGAATGCGAGGATGAACCCAGAGGGCCCGGGGTCATAAGCAGCATGCTCACCCCCGCCGTTGTCCTCGCGGAAGAACTCCTCGCTGTCATTGGCCGAGTGAGACTTCTTCATCTCAGCGATCCGGTTCCGGGGCACCTTCCTCTTGAGGGATGGGGAGAAGAATGCGGGCCGGTTGTTCCGCTCCGGGGTGGGGGGCGTGCTGAAGGAGGTCACCTGGGGACAAAGAGCCATAGTCACCGGAGCAGCCCGTCTATACCGCCTGGGCCCTGATGCCACCCGCCGGAGGGCCGGCCTCCCTGGGGCTGAGCGGGTGCTCGGAGCTGGTTCCAGCTCAGGGAGGGCAGAAGGGCCTCAGCTCCGCCCAAGGGGGAGCCGGGTGCCCTCTGCGGGCCCCGAACCCTGGCCGGCCGAAGTAAGACTGCTGACGCCGCTCAAGCCCCCGCCACGGCACACGCATCCATGGACACATCCCAACCAATCCACGGGATGGGAACTGGTATGAAGCCCGTTGGACCAATGAGGAAATAAGGTGGGACAGCGACCTTGACCTGCCCAAGGTCACCCAGCAGGATGGGGGCAAAACCAGGATTCGGCCCAGGTCTTCTGCCTCCTAAGGCCATGCTCCTCACCCCAATTTCTTCCCCTTGGCTAAGATGCCCCCCATCCCTCTCAGCCCCAGCACCCTCTGGTGAAGGGCAATGGCGAAGCGGCCCAGGCCTCCATCCCCTCGTCTTGTAACCACACTCAACAATGTTCTGCACAAACACGCACAGCCACGCAGGGTCAGGTGGGAGCAGCACTGGGGACAGACAGGCATACAATACCGCTCCCTGCCCTCAAGGAGCTCACAGTCTGCTGAGGGGCGACAGACTCGGAAAGTGACAACCACAGACTAAAGGCTGGTTGCTGAGACAGAGAAAAGGAAGAGCAGGATACAGGGGAGCACAGAGCAACAGGAGTCCACAGCCTGGGAAATCAGGAAAGGCTTCCTGGAGGAGACGCCGCTCGAGATGGGTCTTGAAGGACGAGTAGGAGTTCGCCAGGTGAAGAAGGGGGGGAAGGGCGTTCCAGGCAGAGGGAACTTGGCCCATCTCCTCCCTCCTCCCCATGCAAACAAGAATCTGAGGAACAAGGTGAGCTGGGACTGAAACTTCAGGAGCCCCGTCAGCCTCCTCGTCACGGCTTCCGACATCAATCAAAGTCCCGGCGGCCGCTGGGCTCCAGACGGTCCTCCCATAAGCCAGGGAAGTTTTCCAAAGATAGAGAAAAAAACAAAACACCAGAGACCACAATACACACAGAGTCTGCATTTGTCACGAGCTGGTTACAAATGACCCCTCCGGAAAAGGGGGACACGCGACAGTAAGCACAGAGGTGGCGGGGGCCCAGGCAGCCCCCAGGAGGTCAGGCCCAGCCACTGGCAGCTGCGTGACCCTGGCAGGTCCCTTCCCTTGACCCCGGGCCTCCCTGCTCCCCTGAGCCAGGAACCATGGCCTTCACCCCCAACTACCACCCTGGGAGGGAGAGATTATCACTCCCATTTGGTGGATGGGAAGAGCCAGGCTCAGGCAGGTCTGGTAACATATCAGCAGTCGGTCAGCAAACGCGTGGCCGGAAGCGGCACCCAGGCCGGTCCAGCCCAGAGCCCAGGCCACATCTTCACGAGGACTTCCACAGACACATTCTGCAGGGCCTCGGCGGGCAGTTTAGGACCAGGGAGAAGAATTAGACTCCGTTTCTCAGAAATCAGCTCGGAAATGTATCAACAACCGCTACTTGAAAGACGAGAGAGGCCCCTGCTTGGAACCCTCACCCATGTCTTTGCAGAAAAAAAAAAAAAAAAAAAAGCAGCACGGACTGTTTCTATTCTGCTTTTCAATCACATTCATTGCAGAAGGAACAAAACGAGAAAGGACATAAAGAGGAGGAAGAAACACGCTGACTACCTGGAGATATGCATGGTTAACAGTCTTACAGAATGAAAAGTCTAGCAAACACACGCTTCCTTGTCTGGGGCACGTCAGCACTGCGGCGTGCTTTATGTCCTTCAGTCCTCTTCCCCAGCGGATCACGCCCGCACCAGCTGCTGGCTGCGCTAGCAGCCCCTGAGCCTCCCAACACCAGTGCTCCCCATTTCTGGACGAGAAACCAGGCCGAAACCTGTCCCAGGTCACCTGAGCAGCAACACCTGGACTCCAGCCCAGTCTCACCCCCAAGCCCGTTCCTGCAGATGGGCTGGCCAAAGCCGCTTCCCTGCCGCCGGCACCCACACCTTCTTGTCCCCTTCCGAGCCCCACCGCTCTGAGCAGCCTGCGGGCTCGAGACTTTCTCCCGCCCAAGCCCTGGGCCCCACTGGGGGTCCTGGGAATGAAGCTGCCGCTGACCTCGGCTTTCCACCCCTGGGGAAGGACGGTGGCCTAGAAAGAGCAGGGCTCAGAGGCTCGGTGCTGTCACACGAGAGCCGTGAGACCTGGGGCGGCGCCAGTCAACCCATCAAGCCTGAGTTTCCCGGTCTGCAGATGGGAACGCCCATGTCTACCCACCGGGCTGCTGTGGGGACTCCCAATACTCGAAGATGCACACCACCTCGTAAACAAGGGGGCCGGGCAGAGGGAAGAGCTGGGTGGTCCGGGACCCCGTGTTCTCTCCCCGAGCCTCACAGGGCGGGAGGGGAGGCTGGTTCGTCAGCATCCCCAGGGCACGCCCCAGGTCGCGTGCCCAGGCTCGGCCAGCAGGCCCTCTGAGGCAGGTGCCGGGACCAGCCTGGGTTTCCCTTCGGCTGGGCCCAGCTGCAGCGGCAGCTCAGGGAAGCAGGAAAAGCCCTGGCCCACGCCCTAACCTGCTGTGTGACCTTGGGCAAGTCCCGGCCCTCTCTGAACCTCAGCCTGCTCCCCAGAGGGTGGGGATAATGACACCTACCTCACCGGGGGACTTTAAGGATCAGGGAGGCGGTGGGAAGCGGATCCGAGGGACGGGAGGCCCCTCCCTGAGCTGTGCAGCCCTTACCCGCTCATGCATGGGTGAAGCCGGGCTGGAATCCTCTTCGGTCCCGCCGGGGGACGTGTCACCAATAGACACGCGGCTGACTGCCATCTCCGCATGACCCTTGCCCTGGGGCCCCTTCATGCGCACAAACTCCATGTTGTTGTACTTGTAGAAGCCGAATGACATCTTCTGTGCCATACGGGCAGCCACACTCACCTGCGGACAGGTGGGAGATGGCCTGAGTCAGCCCCCGTAGGGATGGCCTCTTCCTGGGAACACGGGGTCGCGAGGATGGCTGCCCCTCAGAGTGGCCCCTGAGGGCTGCCCGCTTTCCTCTCAGGGCGATGGACCCCGTTGGCCAGGGCCCCCCCAGCAGGCAGGGTACTGCTGGAATACTTGGGGCTCGGGCGGACGCTCCTCCCACCGCCCCATGATCCATGCCTCGCAGCAGGCCGAGCGCCAGGCTGGGAACACAAGCTGCCCCGGGGAGTCCGAGACCACCCCCCACCCCTCCCCTGGGAGAGGCCAGCCTCAGTGGGGGAGGCCCAGCTGCAGGAGAGCCATCTGTCCACCTGGGTTCCTCCCCCACCCACCACCAGGGTCCATTTCGGGAGTGTTTGCACGCGGGGTGGGGCCACCTGTCACTCCGATCCAGTGCGTCCAGGTGAGCGAGGAGGGACACAACAGAACGCAGTCCCTGAGCCACCTACGAGGGGCCCGGGGGCCGCAGCTGCTCTGAGGAGCTGGGCAAGGACGGGGGTGCCGTGGAGGGCCTGTCCTCCCACTTACTCGGTTGTCATACACCTTCTTGAGTGCCTCATAGCGGATGGAGCCCTGAAAGATGACCCCTTGGAACAGGTTGGTTTTGTCACTGGCCACCAGCTCCACGCAGACCATCTCTCCCTCCCCCACCGTCATGTCGCTGAACACCTGAGAGGGGGCACAAGGAGGACAGCTACGCACCACGCAGCCCACAGCCTGGCTCCCCGGCTCCACCCCCTGCCGCCCTCCCGCCCACACCCCTGCTCCAGGGGCTGTGCACCGACCCCACTTCAAGGTCACACGGACTCAGGTTCAAATCTTGGCTCTGCCACGAACGGGCCATGCCAGCCTGGAGACGGCACTTAGTCCCCTGAGCCGAAAGTGCTCCAAGGCACCAACCAATCGAGAAGAGACCCTGAAACATAGGCGCCCTTCTTCGTGAGTCTTCCCTGGGGTCCTGACCGCCTCTAGGTGAGGACCAGCACCGCTATGGGGACCTCGGCGGCAGCGGGGAGCAGCTGGGCAGGAGCTGGGCAGGGTCGGGGGCAGGGTGCCTGGTGTGGCCCGCGTGAGTCACTTTCTGCCATGAGTCCCAGTTTTCCCAGCCTGAAAACAGAAGCTTGGCCCAGAAACTCCCACAGCCCCGCCCCCTCTGACACCCTAGCATCCCGTGGCGTGGAGGCACTTGTTTGGAGGTTTATGGCCATCCTAATGTCTCCTCCTGCCCGGGCAGCCCTTTTATATAGGAGTTTATGACGCATTCTCCCATTCACGAGCTGGTGTGATCTTCGACCCCGACGGGTAAGTAGGCCACGTGATCATGACGCTCATTTTACAGCTGAGAAAACAGGCTCGGAGCTAGGTGAACCCCACTGGCCCCAGTCCAGCGCCAGGAAGAGCGGGGGCCACAGGGACAGGAGTCAGGATCGCCCCACTCCCCACTGCCCTCGCGGCCCTGACGAGGGGCCTGGGGAGACATGCTGGGCACGAGCAGCTCACCTCCTCGAAGCTGTCGATCATGAAGAAGATGTTGGGGTAGCTGATCTTGGATTCTTCCCCCTTGCTGTCCATGGGGTGTTTACTGGGGGACGCAAACACTTGCTGAAAGGAAGGGCATTTGAAGGACTGAGTGAGGCGAGGCCCTGCCCTGCACCCAGGTCCACAGCCACTCAAGGGACAGGTCACTGTGGTCACACGGCTCAGAGCCAGGCCAAAACCAGAGGGAACCACTCTGCGAGGCGCTAGACGGGTTTCTGGTCAGACCTGCCCCTCCAGGCAGGGAAGCGAGGAGGAGGAGGAGGAGGAGGAGGGAGGGGAGGACTCGTCTCCTGCACCCAAACGCTGAGCAGCCACAGGGCTGCCATTTCTGGGCTGAGCTAGCAGTCGGGGGCCTGGGGGCTTACCTGGGATTTCTTCTTATGGATGTGGATGTCCCCCCCATCAGCGCGTGTGCACACAGCACAAGTCACCATGTAGTCCAGCTGGAAGAGAGCGTGCAGCACAGCGTGCGTGCAGGGGTCGCCCGGCCGCCCGCAGCAGCCCCGGCCCCACCACGCCCCTGTACCTTCTGCAGGATGAGGTTCAGGCAGACACTCTCCTCCCAGTCGATGTCAGGGTCTCCAAGGCCCGGCAGCTTCTTGGAGTCACGCCGGTATACCTCTACCTCCACCTCGGGCTCAGCCTCGGCCAGCTGGGGGGGGCAGGGTGCAGGTGAGTCCTGGCGCCTTCTGCCCGACTACTGCGTGGGCAGCTGCTAACACAGACATGGACTCCAGCCTGGCTTCTCGGTCTCCAGCTATGTGGCCCCAAGTTAATTAAGAAGGGAGCCTCCGAGGTGGTCCCTCGGTGGCAGCAGGACGTGGGGATCCCAGCCTCCTGTCCCACGCACACTGCTTCTGTTCAACCTGCCCGGAGGTGGCCGTCCACCCATCCGCCCACCACCACCACCGGCCTAACACAGGAAGCCCGCAGGTTGCTATGGCAACTGGGTACCAGCTCAGCTGCAGGCTGGGGAGGGGGCGGGAGGCGGCCCTGGCTTGCCGCAGAGAGCCGGCGGTGCGCAGGCGCCTGCCCGGGGTGCCCCTTGCTTTCTGTTCTTTTGAGTGGTGGGGGCAGAGAGGCTGCTGGGGAACGGCTGTCCGGTCTCCCCAATTGTCCCTCCCTGCTCACCCTGCACCCTTCAGGCCTGCAGGGTCTCCCCACATCGCTGCCCACCCCCTGCCCTCCAAACACTACAGACACCACACGGTCCCCTTTTGTAGGTGCCGGGTCACGTGTGTGCCTGGCGCCCCCCACCCCCCCAACACCTCCTAGGCTGGTCTCTCCAGTGGGAATGTCCTTAGGCCGCCGTGGACCCCTCTCTCTGTCCTACAACACTGAGGCCCGATGTCACAGCTTTGTCTGTGTGGGCTCCCGGCTGTCCCCCGTTCTCTCACTACCACAGCACTGACCGCTCTGTGATCACTCACGATGCTGTCTGCTCCCTGAGGACAGGGCCGGGTCTGAGTCATTCCTGGGCTCCCAGTGCTGGGGGGAGGGGCATCTGCCTACAGCTCACTGCAGTGTTCGATGGAATATTCTAGCAAGTCAACAGCTGGACTGCCACATGCCCCTGTGTACTCAGGCTCCCCGGGCTGACCTCAACACCCCCAAACCTTCCAGGAAGTTTGCACATGGTCCCAGGACTCCTGCTCCAAACTCCTCAGTTCTGGATCCGGGGAACCTTTCTTCCTACCTCTTCACCTGGCCTCTCCCTTCTCCTGCCTCCTGGAGAATTCCAGGTGGGCTGGGCTAAGAAAATCATCCCTAACCAGAGCTGGGGCCTCTCCCGGCACCAAAATTCAAGGTCCAGCTATCTCAGATCCTTATTAGAGCCTCTGGTCTCAGCAGGCTGCCTTTGGGAGAAGATCAAGATTTTGCAAACAAACAAACAAACAAAAAAACCCCCCAAAACCCCAACAAACAAAACCCAAAGTCTACAGCAGATGCCACAGGCCAGTGGTGCAGGCTGCAGGGCAGAGGCCACAGCCGGCTGCCCCCTCGCTGCTTGCCCTTGGGCAGAAAGCTCCCCATTCCAGTTCTGCAGGTGAGCCCTGGCGGTAGAAGCCTATGCCCCAGGGCCAAGCTGAGAGAGGACAGCATGCCCACAGTGGGCGTCCCTGGCAGTGAGGCTCCCTAGGTGCTCACCGCCCTCTGCCAGGAGACTCATGTGGTCACACCATCCCACACATCTTGCCTCCCAGGTGTGCGCAATGAGAGGACCTTAACCTCACTGAGCATCTGCCCAGCCCCCTTCCCAGGACAGGCTGAGCCGCGGAGTAACAGGGCAAGTCGGGGGAGGAAAAGCTGGTCTCTCAGCTGTACCCCTAGACAGGGCGGGCATGGTGAGCAGGGACTGAGGAGCTCTGGGCCAGGCTCCCGAGGTGCTCAGCTCATGGATCTCTCCACCAATACCTGCTCCCCCCACCCCCAATTCTACCCACTGGGGCCCTCTCTTCATCCCTCCCAGAGGGCACCCCCTGCCCACACTGAGTACAGCCTGGGTCCCTGCCCACCACTGAGGCTGCTCTGCCCACGCCTTCCCAGCCTCTGGTCACAGGTCTAACGGCCCATCCCCCTTCTCATCCTGCTGGACTTGGCTCCTCAGGTCCTGCGTCCCCGCTGGTCATGCCCTCTCCTCCTGGCACCCCATCTGGCCAGCCGCTCAGTCTCCTGCTGGTCCCTCCAGGGTCAGGCTAACTCAGACCTCTGTCCTAGGCCTCTGTGACTGTCACACCTCCAAGTCTCCCTCCTCTTCCCACAAATTCCCATGGCCCCAGGTACCATCTTGGAGCCAATGGTCCTAGACCTCTGCCTCTGTCCCTGGCGTCTCTGCTGAGTTTCAACCCACAGGAGATCTGCCACTGGAGGACATCACCGTCTGGATGGCCCACAGGCGCCTAGGACTCAACCTGTCCAACACCGAACCCTGTCCTGTGACAGCACCAGACTCACCCTGGGCCCACGGCAGACCAGCTCTCTGGCTGCCAACATGCAAGTCACTGTGTCTCCTTTGCAGCAGGCACCAGGCCTGTCCATGTGCAGGACACCTAGGCTGTATGTGACCAGCTCCAAGAACAGGCACACAGCAGGGAAAGGGCTCCATGCACTTGACACACAGGCAAGCTCACAAGCCGTGGCCCAGGGGTCAGAGGGCACTGGACTTGGAGCCAAGGTGGCTGTGAGTGCCATACCTGCCTCCATAGCCCTCCCATTTTTGTGATTAAAGGCAAACAGTGCATTCCCCTGTTTGGCATACAGGTTGCTTACACATTTTACAAACTAGTAGCGTTTCTGAAAAACAGAAGGGAACAGGCAAAGGCTGTTTTATTAACTCCTCCACACACCTAAACTCAGTGGACGAAACACCTCAGCTCAGTCACTTTATCCCTGAGACCCTGGTCTCCCCACCTGCCCTGCTGAGTTGCGGGGAGGACACAACAGGTTCGAGAAGGAAAGAGCTCAGCACCGTGCCTGCTGCATGGTGGGGGCTCGGAACTGCCGGGCCTCCTCCTCATCTCCGTGCCCCTGGCCAGGGAGGACCCTGGACTCTGGGCTCGAGGCTTGCTCTTCCGTTGATTTACTTAATAGTATGCTGGCCAAACCACCTCGCCTCTGAACCTGTCTCCTCAAAGGGACAACAGTGATGTCATCACTGCCTTTCAGGGCCCTAGTGAAGATCAGTAGTAACGTATACGCCCCCGCCACCAGCTGGCACCTGTGACCGTCTCCACACGGCTCCTGGCACCCAGTAGGTGCTCAGTGAACAGTGTTTGCCCCTGATGACCTGCTTGAGGTCTGCAGGGAAGCCCACCTGGGCGGCTGAGGGCAGACCCCACAAGGACGCTTGGCTGGGGCCGGAGGGGGCTGCTCACCTTCCTCCCGTCCACGCTGCCCTCGCTGCCCGGGTATGCCAGCTTCCGGCGCACATAGAAAAGCATGTCGTCCTGCCGCGGCGCCCATTTCTCCATGAAGTAGGTAGAGAACATCCAAGTCCAGAAGACGATGCGGTCATCCTTGAAGCACCCTGCCGAGGGAGGCCGGAGAAGAGTGAGAAAGGATGGGTCAACCTGGTCCTTGCATGTGACCTTGGCCAGGCCCTGTCTCCCCCTCCTCCCCACCCCCAACCTACATTTCTGGTCAGAGGTCTGCTGGGGCTCCGTGATGTCCAGAGCCCCCTGCTCCCTCACCGGCCCCCCCATGCCCTCCTAGCCAGGGGACAGGGGCTCAAGGACACCTCCCGGCAGGCCCAATGCCTCCGCCCAGAGAGCCTGAGCCAGGCCCAATGCCTCCACCCAGACAGCCTGAGCGAGAGCCCCGGGCCCCAGCCCCACAGCCCGGCAACTCCAGCGTGGATGAATCAGCAGCTTGGTGGGGCAGGAAAGCCCTAACAAGAGGCGAGAGGCAGCGTCACTGGCTGGCTGGGCTGGGAGCAGATGGCTCTGGAGGGAGCTCCAGAGGCGGGCACCACCCTCGGCCAGCATCCCCCACCCCCGCCCCAGGCTGCGGCAATTCCCACGGAGAACCGGACTTAAAGGAACAGCGGCCCATGCCAGCCAGCCTAGGCCGCCGGCAGACAGCAGGGAAGGCACCCACCCCCTCCCTCACCCCTGCCCCCTGCGTGTTGTGGAGCCTGTCATCGGCCAGATCTGTTCTCCCTTGATCTTCCTTGGTGGCGGGGGGGGGAGGGGGGGGATCTTCTTTTTATTACAGATACTGTTTCTTTAGGATCCGTAAATCTCTGTCCTAATCCTTCCCGCAGGAGGAGAAAAAGCCCACGGGCTCTGGTGGGAAAGACCCGGGTTTCTGCTCCCGCTCCGCCGCTTGCTGAGGGACGGCAGGCAGGCCGTCTGGCCTCTCTGGTCCCCAGGTTCCTCAGTGAATGTCAACCGCCCGACACCTGGCAGGCAACCGGCACAGACAGAGCCCGGGCCTGGCACAGAGCAGGCTCAACCCACGTGGGCTTCCTCCCTATCTGGGCAGATCCGACGCAGTTTCGAGATACGCGACGGAGCTATTTCTTATAATCAAAATATGAAATTGTTGCTGGTTTCTTCCTCTCTTCTCCAGAAAATACTTTACCACTGTGACCTAGTCCTCGTACTTTGGCGGCAGAAGGACCTAATCCCCAGCCTTAGAGATGGCGAACCTGAGAGCCTGCCGGTGCTGGGCCCCCTCCCCGCCATCACAGGCAGTTCAGCGGCCCCACCAGGTCCCCTGACTCGCCTCCTGGGGGCTCAGCCATCAGGCTTTGGAAGACGGGGTCGCTTGCAGAAAGCCCAGGCTTTGTTCATTTCAGCCACACAGCGACCAAAGAACCCGGACTCCAAACCAGCCCGTGCCCCCTGCCTGGCCACCGCCCGCAGCCTGTGGCCCACACCCCCGCCCCACCCTGCGTGGCTCCCAGGGGGAGGAAAACAGAAGGGGTCTTCCGATCAGAGGTCCGGGTCAGTGGGCCTGCCTGTCGGCCCCCGGCGGAACCAAGCCCCCTGTCTGCGTCATCCTGCATCACTGCTTAGAGGTTCCTGCCACGCTCTGACAACAGGACGTCACACCACCACAGATCCCCTGCAAAGGTGAGCAAAGGCACCCTCCCTGCGGGTCCCGGGAAGCCCCCCAGAAGCATCTCTGCTTTGATGAGCAGGGCTCACGGCTCAAACCTCCCCACCCGCCACAGAGACGCAGAGGGTCGCCACCAGTGTCTGTCCTCGGGGCCGGGTGCTGTCTTCTGCAGGTGATCCCTTTCGTTGTGCTAACAGAAGTCACCTGGTAGTAGCCCCGCGGTAGCCGGGCACCCAGTCAGCGTCAGTGATGATGAGCAGAGCATCAGCTGCGATTCGAGACACGATAGCCTCCTATGGGCCCCGGGCCACACACGCCACGCAGGTTATCACCTTCAGCTGTCATCACTGCCCCCAGCACAGAAGAGACCGGCCCTCAAGAGGCTCAAGGACGCTCTCAAGTTCACAGAGTTAGAGACTGCTGAGGCCCTCGGACCTGTCCGACCCCGCACTCCGGCTCCGGAAAGATGCTCCGCGCTACGCTCAGCAACCTGGCGAGAGGAAGGAACCGGATGCTCCCCACCACTGCCTGGCGAGCAGCTGTCCCGCCCTGGGAGCGCCGTGGACCCGGGGAGCTCCGTGGGTGGGACAGCTTCCCAGGCTGGGGGATGAGGGGTCTGGTTTCAAGAGGAAGTTCTGGATGTGACACAAAACGTGCACGTGCGTGCTCTCTATCAGCCTACGCGCCCAGCGGGGGCCGCTCGAAGGGTCCCGTTTCCCTGCCTGACAGCGCCAAGAACACCTTCTCCACAGCTCACCCACCCCGGGTCATGAGGACAGTCTGCAGGCCCCAGGGGCCGGAACCACACTGCCGGCCAGCATTTATTCCAAGGCCGCCCTCCCTATCTGGGCCACACCCAAACAAGATCTCGGAGGAGGCTGGTGCCAGGCCCACGCCAGTTCCACCACACAAACGCTCCCCACCAAACTCCCAGCAACCGGAGGCCAAGTCCTTCTCCCCACCCTCACTGCCAGCCCTGGCCCGAGCGAGCACCACCTCAGCCCCGACAGCCCACCCTCCACACCACAGCCATGGGATCTTTATTTAAGCATCTTTCCCTGCCTGCCTTAGAGCCTTCCCATGGAATTCTGAATAAAACCCAGAGTTCTCACCAACGCTGCATGACAGCCCCGTCCCCACTCCGTCCCCGGTCACCGGCCTCCAGGGCACGCTGACCTGAGCCCTCACCCCCTCGGGCGCTTTGTCCCTGCTGCTCCTCAGCCTCCACTCCTCTGCCCTGGGACCCCAGCCCAGGCAGCTCCTCACTGCATCCCACTTAAGCTGCAACGTCACCTCTTCACGGAACCTCTCCTGACCCCATACTAGACGTGCCCCCTGGGTTCTCCCTCTCACATCATCTGGTTTTACTGCTGTCACAACCTCATCACCCCTGGTGTTTTCAAGTTTGCTGTCTGTCCCCTGCAGCAGGAAAGCGTCCCAGGAGTCGGGACCACCAGACCTCAGAGCCCAGCAAAGTGCCGGGCATGCAGCAGGCACTCCATAAATGCTGGCTAAATAAACAGCTTAGCCCAAGTGAACAGGCTCAGGGAGGGGGCAACTTGCCCAGGGGCCCACAGTCGGGAGGTGGCCCAGCCAGGGCCATCCACCTGAAGCCTGGGCCACCTTCTGTCAGTCACAGGGCCTGACTTAAGAAATATCCCCCAAAGAAGCCCTCTGTGTGCAAGCCCCCCTCGCCGGGCTCTCCGGGGCCTGAAGCGGTGACTCCACAGTCAGACCGTGGGGAGCTGCATGGGGCGGCGGGTGGGCCTACCGCGTGAGCTGAGAAGGTTCAATGGGAGAGAAGAGGAGCGGGTGTCCAGCCTGGGCCGACCCTCATCCAGCTTCCCAGAGCACCTGCTGCCACGGGGCGCCCAGCACCTGCGAGTTAGGAGACCCAGCGCCAGGGAGCTCCGAACGCAACAAGGGGCTTAGAGACTCGCCGCCCGCTGTGGAATGCCGCACAGACAGAATTCATGAACGTTACTATTTCAGTTCCGGCATGACCAGCCCAGCAGGAAGACAGTCAAATTCCAACACACCTCCCTCTAACATGAGGTGAAGAAGGCCCATCGCAAGACGGAAGAGGCGTTCAAGGCAAAGAGCCGCCAGGACAAGCGCCAGAAGGGGCCGTGGGCATTACCGTGGTGGAACAGGCCCGCAAGACCATCTCGACACCCGGGAAATCACAAAGGTCAAGAGCTGCCCTCCTCAACATCTAAAACTGCCCTCTTGTCCAAGAGAAGCATCCCTGAAATGAAAGGTAGCGTGAAAATCGGGGGAGAGCAAAGCGAGGTTAAGTAACAGGTGTCCGTAATATACAAAGAACTCAGATCACAGCAAGTGATGAAAGGAAATGCCTACCGACCCTAACAGACAAATGGGTAACATACCAAAAAGGAAATGTAACTGGTTAACAAAAATGTGGGAAAGCACGAATCTCACAAGTAATCAAAAATTCATTACAAACAACAAGCTGTCATTTGGGAAAGGGCAAATTTGGTATTTACAAAAATCCCACTTCGGAAAATGGGCAGCTTCTTATAAACATCTATTTGCCGGTGATTCAGCCACTTCTAGGGACATACCTGGGAGAAACGAAGCAAGTGTCTCTGTAAACACTGGTACACAGATATTCCTAGAAGGTTTATTCATAATAGCCCCAAACTGGAAACCAGGAGAGTGGACACGTGACACAGCCCCTCGGTGGAGGGTTACTGGCAGTAAAACCAAACTACTGAGCCACATGATACCACATGACACCACGGGTGGATCTCAGAGCCGGCTGAAGGCCAACACAGAAGGCTACATACAGGGCTTCTGCCCACAGTGACAAAACGCAGATCGGGGGCGCCTGGGGGGCTCAGTCAGTTAAGCATCTGCCTTCGGCTCAGGTCATGATCCCGGGGTCCTCGGATCGAGCCCTGCGTCTGGCTCCCTGCTCAGCGAGGAGTCTGCTTCTCCTTCGCCCTC